AAGCCGCCATGGGAGTCCTGGATCATGAGTGAGACACACACACACACACACACACACACACACACACACACACACACACACACACACACACACACACACACACACACACACACACACACACACACACACACACACTCACACATAGTCCAAAAGGTTAAACAATTCAATCTTAATTGTGCTCTACATTGTACATTTGGCAAAAATAAATCCAACAGCGTCAGTGTGAATGTATAAACATTATTTGGATTTGTCTTTAAGGTTATTTAAACTTTTTTTAAAAAGTGAATTTTTTTTGAGGATGAAATTTTATATATTTTTTTTTTATAAAATTCACTTATTTTCAGTGTTGTTTTCTGGTTTGGGGATCTGAACTTCCGTATTGAGGACTTGGAGATGCATGCGGTTAAGGCAGCTATTGATAATAACAAACTTTCCATTCTGTGGGAGAAAGACCAGGTAAGAGACATCCAAGTAAAATTGCTTGCTTTTCTCCTTTCTTCATAGTCTTGTGTCCCACAGCATGATGGAGCTGATGGAACTGTTCTAAAGTGAAATTACGGTTGTAACACAATTCATTCATTTGTTCATCTGCAGTAAGCACTTTATCCTGGTCAGGGTCTTTATATCCTACGAGCACTAGGTATGTGAGCACTGTGTATCAGAAGGTCTACAGAAGTCTTCACAACGACCTGAGCTCGTGTATGAGCTGCTGAAAACACCTTGTCACAAGATATAGCCTAAATATGACTCATTTTTTTTTAATTCATGTGTAGCACTCAACAACTAGTAGCCTAGTCCAAGCACAGCTTTCTGATGGAAAAAAAATCTACTTTAACCTACTTTTTTTATTATTTATTTTTTTTTAAATATTGTCTAATATTGTCATGATGCCATTCTTCCATGTCAGAAAGTGTCAAGTACAGATCTGTAATTGACCCCCCAGCATGGTAACACTTTATTTCAAGGGTAGTGACCTATGAACTTCATAACACATTCATAACCATTACATTAAGCTTTTAGATGCTTTATGAAAGGCTTATGTCAAAACTCATCAGATGACATTACAGGTTTTATGCAATATGTCACATAGGAGTGGAGAGAAAAGGGCTCCAGTTCATAAAATCCTTCACAAACATTACACAAATCTATTAATAAGCAGCAGCATTACACATTTTTATTTTTATTTTTTAAATATCTTTGTCAAATGTTGTCAGGTGACATTATAGTTTTATGCAATCTCTCAGATTAGGAGTGGAGACAAAAGGCCTCTCATGACTGGATGATGTCACCTGACGAGTTTTGACATAAGCCTTTCATAAAGCATCTGACACAGTTTTATTTATTTATTTATTTATTTTTCAAAAGCTTATTGTGACGGTTATGAGTGTGTTATGAAGTTCATATGTAAGAACACTTCAAATAAAGTGTTATAAAAAAAACCTTCAACACACCATTACCCCCTTTTTTTTTAAATGTGGAATGCTGTTACTATAGAAACTGCTGTGGTATAACAGTGCTTTTGAAATTTGCCTAATAATATCATCTTTAGCAGCGCACAGCTTGAAAGGCAGTGCATTACTTAATACAAAATAGTCTTTAATGACAGAGAACATAAAAGAAAAGTCATTTGTTGATTTAGGTAAATGTTTTATGGCAATTTATGGCCATTACTGTTACTATACAATGGATATAAAAAGTCTGCACACCCCTGTAAAATGGAAAGTTTATATGATGTGTAAAAAAAAAAAAAAGATACCAAGATCAATCATGTCAGGCCTTTTTTCCATCCTCAAAGTGAAATTACAACCTAGAAAATAAATCTAACATTTTAGGAAAACTTTGAATAAGCTAGTTGTGTAAGTATACACACCCCTAAATTAATACATTGTTAAAAAACCTTTTGATTTTATTACAGTCTTTTTGGGTAAGAGCATATCAGCGTGGCACATCTTGACTTGGCAATTATTTTCCCACTGTTTCTTACAAAAACATTCTAGATCCATCAGATTGTGAGGGTATGTCCACTTCAGGTCACCCCATCGATGTTTAGTTGGATTCAGGTCTGGGCTCTAGCTACGTCATTTAAAAACACCGATCGTCTTTTGGTTAAGTCATTCCTTTGTTGATTTGGATTTATGCTTTGGGTCATTGTCATGCTGAAAGGTGATATTCCTGTTCTTCTTCAGCTTAATAGCAGACAGCTGAGAGTTTTACAGTAAAAGCAACTGGTATTTGTAGCTCTTCATGATTCCCACCTTGATAAAAGCCCAAGTTCTGACTGAAAAGAAGCCTTTTCTAAAGCACGATGCTGCCACCATCATGTTTCACCGTGAGTGTGGTGTTCTTTTGGTGATGCGCTTTTCTTTTTGCGCCAAACATACCTTCTGGAATTGTGTAATTATTATACCTTTTGGAATTGGTCTTATCAGACCATAGCACATGTTGCCACCTGGTTTGGGGTGATTTAGTTGGGCTTGGATGTTTTTTGTGAGAAAGGGCTTCCATCTGGTCACCCTACCCAAAAGCCCAGACGTGTGAAGAATACGGGAGACTGTTGTCACATGCAGAGAGTGATGAGTACTTGTCAGATGTTCCTGCAGCTCCTTTAATGTTGCTGAAGGTCTCCTGGTAATCTCCCTGGTAAGATTTTGTCTTGTCCTTTTGTACATTGTGGAGGGACGTCCTGTTCTTGGTGATGTCACTGTGGTGCCAAATTTTCTGCGCTTGTTGGTGACCTTCACTGTGTTCCATGGTACATTTAAAGTTTTGGAAAATTCTTTTCTACCTCTCTCCTGATCAGTAAATTTTGATAAGTGAGATACCGTACATGCTTTGTAGGCTCTTTGTGGACCACAGCTTCAGCAGTCAGATGAAACCAAGAAAATCCTACAGAAACAGCTGGTCTTTATTTGGAGTTAATCAGAATAATCTAATTGATGACAACTATGATAATTACTTTTGAACTTGAGATTAAATGTGATTGGTTTCTTCTGAACACAGCCACATCACCAGATATAAAAAGGTGTGCTTAAATGATTCAGATTTTTTTTTCATACACATTGTAAATGCTTAATATCACCTTAGCGGCATGTGCATATTGATATCTTTATCTTGTTTACATTTTTTGCGTCTTATAGTTGAACATGGCCAAAGACACTGAGACTGTACTGGAAGGCTTCCAGGAAGGACCTCTGAAATTCACTCCTACATACAAGTTTGATGTGGGAACTAACACCTATGATACCAGGTATAGATGATAAATTTGAGCAGGTGTAACTTGATTGTCTAAATTAGGACAAATTATGAGCGAGCTAAATGAATTAAAACCTATAGAGATGAAGCAACACTTAACTTTTCAGGGAGTTGTTTGTTGAACTGACTAACCTCAGTGTTGTACAGTATTCCCATCTGCACGGAAATGTACCTCAGGCTTAGTTTTTTAAAGTTAGTTTTAACATCTTACTGTACATCTTATGCGTCACTAGCCCTGGTTAGTTTATCCTGGTTTGGAAATGAAACATTGGAAGGACATCAGAAAATTTGTCTTTCCCAAAATCAGTTCGCCCAGATCGCACCTGGAAGCTCTTGACTCAGCCCAGGACTTTTATTCACAATATGTTCATGCTGAACATCTATCAAACCCAATAAATATAGTAGAGTATTGAGCTGTAGAAGAGAAATGATTTATCTGGTGTCACCCAGAATAGGATGCTGGCTTTCCTTTTGAATCTGGTCCCTTTCAAGGTTTCTTCCTCATGTCGTCTCGGGAATTTTTTTTTTCCTTGTCACTGTCACTTCTGGCTTGCTAATAAGAGATCTGAACTTACCTCCAGTTTGTTCTTAACCGTCTCATTCCCCGTCTATTCTTAAAAGCACTACACAAACAAAATTGAATTGAACAGAACAGAAATGTGCGCTGCTATTTTATATTATTTCGTTTTGCAGTTCTACAGTAGGCGTTTTAAAACAAAAAATAAAACGTCTCTTCTAAACAAAATATGTCCAAAGCTGCTTTTTATCTACACATCCTTTGTTTGATGGACAGGCTTAAAATATCTAAAAACCTTCCATCTAACTGCCATCACTGCACAGACCAACGGCGACAGACACGTTTGTCGGGTTTTGTCGGTTCAGTGCGTTAATCCTGTCGCCGTCTGTTTTCACCGACTGGACTTGTTCATTCAGCGTCTGTCAGGTCATTTAAAGTCTGAACAGTGCGTATGATTTTCCAACAAACTCTGACGTGATCTGACCTGGGCACGAACCGTTGCCATAACGATGAGGCAAGTGTCCCTGCAAACTCCATAGAAATGAAAGCCTGTGCTCTAGGTGCTAGGCGCACATACTTCTAAATAGACTGTTTCCATGCATTTTTCTCTTGCAAGTGAGGGCTAATTACTTATTAGAGAAAAAAGTTGGATTTATCATAAAACTTGCCTCGGGTGTTATCACTGTTTGCAGGACTACAAGACCAATAAAATATCTAACTTTTTGGCTATCTAACATGAGACTAAGCTAGTTTGTATGTTGCTAGCCAAGGGGAGGCACAACTAAGCTATCACTGTATGGGTTTAGCTGCTACAGTGCCATGCAAAGTACATTATCTGTCCTTATGCTCTGCTCATATCATGTTCACGTAAATTGGAACTCATGTAGACATTTACACACCCTGTTTCCTGCTCGGCACTGACTGTCTGAGCTAGTGTTTGACACAGTTGAGACCTGTCAGCCAGTAAGACAAGAGTATTTCCACGTATTTTCTTGTAAACGCTGTCTGATTGGCCTTGCCTCGGGGCTACAGCCCTGAGTGTCCAGGCCAGGTTACGCCCCTGGTCAAACAGAGCAAAATTTTGAAAGAGCACATCCTCAGTCTGTAGTTCTCTGTATAAATGTAAGTAAGCACCCTGTCTCTCATATCGCTTCACCCACAACCTCTAACGTGTCTCTCTTTTTCTTTTCGCCACGTAAAGACATTAGCAATAGTAACATTTCGATTGTAGGGCAGTGGTTGCTAGATGGTTAAAGCTCTGAAATACTGATCAGAAGGTCGGGGGTTCAAGCCCCAGCACTGCCAAGCTGCCAGTGTTGGGCCCTTGAGCAAGGCCTTTAACCCTGCGCTCTGATCCCAAATTCCTGGTATGCTGGGGTATGTGAAGAAAAGAATTTCACTGTGCTCTAATGTATAGACCAATAAAGACTCATTATTATTAAAATGATCATCCATTTTTAAACCAGCCCAACTGTCCGTAAACGTAGTTTGTTGTTGTCTGACTGTGCAGTGTGAACCGGGCTTAACGAAACGTTCCAGGATTTTAGAAGATTGCTTTGGGTTTGACTCCGAAGAAGCACGTCAGACAAATGTGCAGAATAGCAAATAACCATCTTTTTTTTTTTTTAAACACATTTGCTTATATATCTTAGTCATTTCTCCTGAAATCATCTTCTCATAAGTCCATCGTTCTTATTCACTTCCTAGTGGGAAAAAGCGTAAGCCAGCATGGACCGATCGCATTCTGTGGCGGATGAGGCCAATGGCTCAGGCTAGCAATGTGTCCAAGCGTAGCTCGCTGTCAGGCCTCACCAGCGGCACTCGAGTTACACAGCACTTCTACCGCAGTCACATGGAGTACACTGTCAGCGACCACAAGCCCGTCTCCTCCATCTTCACCCTGCAGGTAAAGCCATGTCTGAGGTCGATAGGGAAAGCTGGGGTTGTTTCTATCAGAACTGTGTATCACTATAATATACACTGGTCTCCACAGTTCCCATATAAGGTGGACATCCCTTTGGTAACACTCATTGTAGAGGATGAATGGAGGGATGTGACTGACGCCATGGCCAAATTTAAGGTGGTGCACGGTTACTCCAGAAGTTCCTGGGACTGGATTGGACTTTACAAGGTACTTTGTCTCAATAGGAAATTATTTCACCATATATAAGAGACATGGATCCACTATGTGATACTATTATCCTGAGAATGTTTTCTTAGCTTCAAACAAGATCTTTTCTATTCAGATATCAGTTACAACACATGGGAAGGCAAAATGAATAACATGAGCCAACCATTAACAACTGAATTATGGGGAACTGGGAATGTAGCAAATTGGCCAAATTGCCTTTGTATTGTAATGTGCACTTCTCCTACAACGAACAAACAATGAAAAGTGCAATATAAGCACAGCAAAATGAATTCATCAGCATTTTATAAATGCGTTGCTTTTTACGCAATCCATTTCTTCCAGGTTGGATTTAAACATCATAAAGACTATGTGAGTTACACTTGGGCTAAACAGGAGGAATCGGATTACCTGAGACAGGAGCACCATGTAAGACAAGAAACAATAAACACATACCAGTGTGGAGTAGATCTTCGTTTCAGTGGAAAGATTATTTCGGAATAAAGGTGCGGCAATAACTGATCGGGCGTTTTTAAATTCTCGCCTGTGCAGGTCACCTTTGCAGAGGAGGAGTTACCAAAGGAGTCTGGTGACTACATTTTGGGTTACTTTAGCAACAATATGAACTCTATTGTGGGTGTTACTGAGCCATTCCAGGTAACTATTCTTGCTTGTTTTACTTCAGCTGTTTAAATAAAAATCGTAGAAAACGAGGTATGAATATGTTTCGTTGATGTATAGTAAGTAGAAATTTTAATTATGTCAGTGTTATTTATGCATTTATGTTATTTATGCCGAATAGATGCAGTGTTATGATCTGCAGAAGAAATGCCTCACTATCATGATGAAATTTCTGACTCTTTTTTGACTATATATAATTCTGAAAACAGGTTATAGCATTTTAAATCTGGTTACCCTTAAAAATGAAAAAGGAAAAGAAAATTGCATGTAAAGGTTGTATTCTGACTCCAGTGCAGGAGCATTGTGGGCATTCTGACAGCCAGTACAGTATGTCATTACTGACCTAATTGATTAGGCGAATGTCTGTTGTGCTTTGGCAAGCAGGCGAAAATCTCAAAAAAAATATTTTGGTCGAAACCAACTTTTTTTCCCCTTTTTGGCTGTTTGTTAGATTGAGCCAGGTTTTTAAAGACTGCTCACATACATAAACAAAAAAATAAACGTTTACGGACACCTGACCATCACACACGCACACACACACACGTGTTTGTCGAACATGCCATTCTATTGGCTGTTATAATAAGCTCCACACTTCTGGGAAGGTTTTCCACTAGATTTTGGAGCGTGGCTGTGGGGATTTGTGATCATTCATGATGTTCGGTGAGGAGGTCTGGCGTACAGTCGGTGTTCCAGTTCATCCCAAAGGGGTTCAGTGGGATTGAGGTGCAGGACCCTCAGCCTTGAGGTTCTTCCAGTCCACCTTGGCACATCATGTCTTCAAGGAGCTCGCTTTGTCATGCTGGAAAAGGTCTGGGCTTCTGAGTTCCACTGAAGAGAAATTGTAATGTTACAGTAGACAAAGACGTTCTATACAGTTATGTGCTTCAGACTTTGTGGGAAAGAACCACATATATGGGTGTGATGATCAGGTGTCTACATACTTTTGGTCAAATTTGATAATTAAATGTTGACTTTGTTTAGTTTCTGTTCAAGTAGTGACTTTGTTTCATAATCTCACATGACAATAGTATACATTTAATTTATACTATTCATATCACTATTCATCTAAGAACTGAACATCAACAAGTGATGGAGTCGGTAAATGTGGAAAATGGTTCCATCACCTTGAGTTGTTTGACTAGGCATTTAAAGTAACCTGGATGACTGAAAACCCTCACAGACGAACCTGACAGTGGTGTTTTTAATTTGCCCTTTTAATACTTCTGCAGATTCAGTTGCCCTCGTCCAGCGCGGCTGGTCTCAGTCCCTCCGACAGCTCAGATTTTACCTCTGAGGATGAGGTCAAGAAGGGCAGCAGCAGCAGCAGTAGCCGCAGCGCCACGCCCACCGAGCAAGAGGGAACCACCCACAAACCCCTTTCAGTAGACGACTCATCCCATTCCGCTTCCAGCTCAAAGGCTGGCAGCCCCGTTAAAACGACTGACTCCTCAGATGATCGAGACTCAAACTCAGGGAAAAACCGCGGAAAGTCACAACTGCCCTAAACGAGCACAATGAGATGCTGGAGCGGGTGTGAGGATGTAGCGCGGGAGCTTAAGGATTCTCACTTGTGCTTTTGCTGTATCGTGACGTTGTTTGTTACTTGGAGTCTTATCTGTGGAAGGACAGAGTTACAGAATTAAAGTCTTTGTCTTTTTTTTCGCAGTTCATGCCATACGTCATTCTCCAACTTTCCTTTCCCCCTATTTTAATCAGCTACAAACAGAATGGTTCAATTCTGGGATTTTAAGAAAGAGAAAAGCACAATAGTTCAATTAAAAATATTTTTTTAAATAATACATGATGAGGATTTAGCCTTTGGTGTTTTCCAATGTATATAATACCTTTTAAACTCAATCAGGACACTCTGCAGTGGTGTTTGTTGAGGGCATCATCGCAGGTCTTTCCTAAATCTCTGTGAAACTGCCAGGTTTTCAGGTTTCTTTTGCTGATTAAAATGCCTTTGCTGACCACCGCACTAATGATAAGAGTGATTTGGTGGTAGCACACGTCAGCCGGTTCTGTTTTCTCTCATTAATCTTTGATGACTCATCCGGGGCTTTTGTTTTTTGTATTTACGAGAAGTTAGACGTTTACTATCGGTGTAGGGACCTGCTCTTTCATCCGCTAAGCTCCATACGCTGTATGTCAGGAGAGGTTGATCCATTGTAGCAGCCGTGTACAGCTAGCAGAACATGATTGAATGTTAAGCGTTATCCAGGTCCGTCTGTGCACCCGTCGACTCTCCCACGTGAATTTCACGTCGCTGGAATCATATCGTTCGTTCCTTGCTTTGCTGTGATAGTGTTCTTGTTACAGTTGATGTCTTGAAAGGCAAACCTTGACAGAAATCTCCGAGGTCATGTTCTTCCACGTCTTTTAAGAATTCAATGCTAAAAGAAATGTGCACTGGGGAAACACAAGCCTAACATAGACTGTGCAAAAGGGAACCATGTTGAGAAAGAAAAGAATAAACCTTTTTCTTGAACTGTGACCGTGACTGGGGAAAAAAACAAACGCGTTAGCAAGAACTTATTCATATTTTGTGAATAAATCATACAACAATATTCACGTTAATCTAGTTAGATGTGTGGAAGAACGTCACATAAACGTTTTTGTGCCTGGTTAGATTTGATCTTAAGTGTCACGCAGTACTACATCACTGCTGTAACTGTAACTGTGGGGATTCTGTGATTGTGTCATCTGGTATTTTCTAGGATTTGTCCTGTGTGGTGAAGATCTCTCTAAATCTCTCTCTCTCTCTCTCTTTCTCTCTCTCTCTCGCTAGTTCCACTGATTAGCAGTTCCGGTAGCTGTAGTCTAGTAGCTGGTGGATCTCAGTGCACCGTTTAGGACCAGGAGTACTATTTTACACAGCGTGCTATGTAAGTGTAAGACCATGTATATGTATTTACGTGTTTGTGTGTGTGTGACTGTACTGTATGTCAGGCAAACATATTGTGCTGTGAAAAAGCAGAATTCAAAGCTGCGTGGAATTCTAAACGACCCTTAAACTTTAAGGTTAGATAAAAGGACGAGGATCGATGTGTTTTCTGTAGTTTTGCACTTTTTTATATTTTTCCATATAGAACTACTATTAAAAAAATGTATTTGAAAAAGCGCATTAATCAAAGCCATCCTCACAGAACAGTGACATGCTGTAGTTAGAAGTATCAGACCTCATTCTTTGATCCATATTACACCTAAGTGTAATATCACCCAATATCAAGTGGGCTGGACCAACAAAAAACAAAACAAAACACTTCAATAGACCAATTACAAACGAGCAGAGAAACCCTTAAACGAATTCTTTTTGAAAGAGACATTGTGACAGCGTCGAATTCTTTAACTTGCTAAGAATGATATATATAATAATAATAAATACATAAGCTTTATATCTAATTGCTAAGCCAATTTTGCCAGTAGCTGGTTTCATGGTCCTGATCTTATTCCTGTATGGTAACGGTGCTCGTCAGATTTACTCAGATTAACATCA